ACTTATAGGTACATTAGCTTCATCAATTATTGCCAATTGATTTTTGTGATATATCGAAATTTTTAGTGGTATTAAAATACTCTGTAATGGAGAGTCTCCTTTTTCGGGTAAATCTATGTAAAATTTTGTTAGTTTCACGTACTCTGAATTATCTGATGATTTTTTGTCTGCATTCTCATCCTCAGACTTAATTTTATGAAGCGTATTGATTTTCGTTAGATTTTGGATGTTGCCTGCATTATACGAATCTTCATCGCAATTTTCAACATTCTTATAATATACATGACTTGCAGTGCTACCTCTCAACAATTATTTCATTTCAATACACTCATCACCAACAATTCGTTTAGGTGTTTTATTATTACTTGTCGAACAGTATATTGACGATTCAACTGAACATGATCCATGAAATTCATAGATCAATGTTTCATTAATCAATACATGAAAAACGTCAAATCTAAAATTAGCTTTATGATTCTCTGCGGTGCACATCTTCCGTACAATACCCACTGCCTCTTCTTCTTATTAGCTCGGACGCTTCCATATATTTGTACTTCACAATTCCATTCCCATTCAAACATAAGATCTTTAGCAATTTTTTTTATCATATTTTTTTTCGAAACATTATCTTTTTCTACTTTGTCTGCCGTTACCACAGATTTTCCGACTGCGATCGGATAATTCTTGTCTTTATCATCTCTTAACGCTTCATCTTCTACTTCTCCAATTTCATTATGATCTTCTTCTTTTTCTTCCATTCGATCATTATCTTTGTTTTCAACGATTCCATGATCTTTTGTTGGACCATCATCACTTTTTATCAAGTCTTTTGCCTCGGTATTGGATTTTTGTTAACTCTTTATATTTAATTGTTTTATATATGTGTTGAAAAAAAACGAGTCAAATATAAGAAAAGTTTACTGTATGTCTGTAATAAATAAGGCGATCTTCCAGGTAGAAAATTTTGAGTAAAAAAAAACCCTTCAATAATACACACATCTATGACTCTCTCGCTTGTAGACATATTCACAAGCGAGAGTATAAGTGAACCCATTGATCTTTTAAAAGAAATCATTCAAATCTAAAATGTAAAAATCTGCAAAAATAAGTATTTATAAAAAGTGCTACTAATAAGTAACTATTAGAAGAGTTAACAAGTTGAAGTTAAAATATGAAAAAATCATACTTGGCTAAGCAGGATGCCATGATGTTTTGTATTGACAAAAACTACGATATAGAATATAAATATTAATACATATACTCAAAAAATTACAGTTTCAACTTTGAGTTTTTTTTTAAAGTTACAATAAACTATTTCACAGATGGCCACCAGATTTTATAGTTTGTAAAATTTATTGTTCTCTATGTGGATCTTTTCTAATTTTTCTAATAAAAACTTCATAAAAAAAATTTTACGAGACCTGGAACGAGACTCTCGGGTTGCGCTATATGTGGTCTCGGTATCGTCCATAACATTTTCAAAAACGTCTCGTGTGAAGCCCTAACATCACGCCTTTCTTTCAGCTTCTGTGCTACCTAATAAACAAAACAAAAAGGAACTAAATGTTATGCTACAATTTGTAATGGAGTGTTTACATTCATTTATTATCAAATAAACCGGAAATATCAACAATGTACACTATTTTTACTAATTTACGATTGAAATTTATGAAATTTTAGCTTCTTTTAAACGACTCAACCGATCGATTCTAAAAACTAATCAGCTGTTAACCTCAAAAAAAACACATCGATCGCCACCGGCTATTGCATAACGATTTCTACCACCTAATAAAAAATATTATGTTAAAAATGGTCTACATAAAATTAGTGTTAAAATTCAACACACTCTTTGTTATTTAAACACAAAGATTGTGTTATTTTAGCACTAAATTTGTGTTATTATAATTCGGAGTGTGTTGAATTTTAACACTAATTTTGTGTAGACTCAATTACAAAATTTTCATTTCTATTCATCTTTGTACGACAGGCACAGTTCCAAAAAAATACCATCGATATTACAAAAATCTGTGCTTTGATGATGGTAACAACTGATGAATTTGTTTTAAAATGAAAGTATTTTTTCAAAGTTTAGATTTTTACAAACAATATATATTTATTACTTTTCACTTTCAGAAGCAAAAGATAATGATAATGGAGACGACCTAACTAAATTGATATTTTAGTTTCTTCTTTAATCAAATACATATTCTCTTCAAATAAAATGATTAGAAGAGTCATTATTTTTACCAGTGTTATAATTTTTCTTTTTTTTTTAAGGTTATTAATTAATTATGATTAAAAAAAATGATACGCCCTTTTGACTTTAGAATTTTTTTGTCCTAGAGCCAAATGGGCATATACAAAAAAAATTGATAACTTTCCGCTAAAAATCGAAGATTTTCAAAAATCGGGAAGTTATTGTTTTCACCCCGATTTATAAAAATCGAGTTTTCATCAGATCTCGACGTTTGAAAGTCACAGGAAGCTTCCCTGACTATTCCCGCGAGGGTGTCTGTGTGTGTGTAAGTAAGTAAATCTCTTATAACTTTTGAACGGTTGAACCGATTTCATCGCGGTTGGTGCCATTCGAAAAGGCTTTGCCAAACTTAGATTTCCTGAAAATTTGAACCGATTTGGACCGATAGATTTTGAGAAATTCGGAGAAATCTAAAAAAAAATAGGAAAAAAAATTTTTTAGAAGTTGTTTTTTTGGAATAACTTTTAAACGGCTCTATCGATCGATTCCAAAAACTAATCAGCTCTCAACCTTAAAAAACCACGTCGATCGCCGCCAATCCGGTCAAAATCGGTTGATTCGTTCGAGAGATATCGTGAACGAAAGAAAACCGAAAAAAGTGTTTTTTCGGAGTTACTCCGAAATTTCTAGTTTGACCAATTGAAACTTAGAAATTCTTTATGAGGCTTAAAAAACTGCGTAGAACGTCGCCAACCGCGTAAAAATCGGTTCATTCATTCAAAAGTTATTGCGGTTTGAAAATTCAAAAAATAGTGTTCTATGAAACTTCTATCAGACTTTTGAGCTCAAAGAGCGCAAAAGCATATAAGAGATATCTTTTTGAGCTCGGAGAGCTTAAAATAACACACAAATTGTATTTTTGAGCTCAAGAGCTCAAAAAAACGGCCATGTATTAACGGAATTAGCGGGAAGTTGCAGAGATGGCCTTCAAGGTCAACCGTTTTCCTAATTTTTTTGGAATCACTTTTATACGGCTTGACCGATCAATTCCAAAAACTAATCAGCTCTTAAGCTTAAAAAGAGTGTTATCAAAAACGAAAAATTTCGAAAAAAGTGTTTTTTTTTCACATAATTTATGTTTTTTTGGAATTACTCCGAAATTTTTCGTTCTATCAATTTAACCTTGAAGATTCTTCATGAAGCTTAAAAAACTGCGTCGACTTTTATACGGCTTGACCGATCAATTCCAAAAACTAATCAGCTCTTAAGCTTAAAAAACCACGTCGGTTGCCACCAGTCCCATCAAAATCGGTTAATTCTTTCGAGTGTTATCAAAAACGAAAAATTTCGAAAAAAGTGTTTTTTTTTCACATAATTTATGTTTTTTTGGAATTACTCCGAAATTTTTCGTTCTATCAATTTAACCTTGAAGATTCTTCATGAAGCTTAAAAAACTGCGTCGAATGCCACCAACCGCGTGAAAATCAGTCATTCATTCAAAAGTTATTGCGATTTGAAAATTCAAAAAATAGTGTTTTATCAAACTTCTATCAAACTTTTGAGCTCGGAGAGCTCAAAAGCATACAAAAGCTATTTCTTGAGCTCGGAGAGCTCAAAATAACACACAAATTGTATTTTTAAGCTCATAGAGTTTAGAAACGTCGTAAGTGCAATTTCAAGCGTTTAAAATATTTAAACGTTTTTAAAAAATTTTAAAACTTGACGAAAAAATGACCGAAAAATTTTTTACGGTCGTTTTCCATCTAAGTAGTTGAGCAAGCCAGATTTGTTTATTACCGTCAGAATTTTTAGATAAATTTTGTTTTGAATATTTAAAATATTTAGGTTGCATGTGAAATAGGTTGGTTTGTTTTTTTTTTTTTGAGAGGAATTTTCGTAAAAAGAAAAAAAATTGCTCATGAATTTTTGTGACTGACCGAAAAAAAATGACGTCAACTGACGAGCATTTGCTCGTGATTTGACCAAAGTTAAAAATGACCGTCATTTCACACCACTACGTGAGGCCCTTATTTTTCCGAGAAAACCTTAGGGAGAGGGCAAAGAACCCAGGAAAACAGGATTTTTTTGGACAGTTTTTTCCCCCAAACTTCACTAATTAGAACCGTCCAGATAATCGGAGGCCCAAATACTTGTCTTCATTTTTGAGTTCTGTTCGGATCTGTCTATCTAGTAGATAAGTAGTAATTCTGAGTCTTCTGTCTGAGCCTCTGTTAGAACGTACTTTCGTGCGGGAGTCTCACCAGAGACTTCCGTCGAAGAATCTCTCGTAAAAGATCTCCAGGTTTGCGGATCGCATAAATCTTAGTTAGCGGTCGGTTTTTCTCCCACGTAAACTAAAAATTGTATTTTAAAGTAGCAAAAGTAAAAGTAAATAAAATGAAAATGTTAAAGAGTATAAAATAATTACGTACAACTGTGTGTGTCGACGATATGGTATAATAAATTAAATTGTAATTCTTGTTCAGGTTGTGTAAATTCATAATTGAAAACGGAAATAATTGTAAACCATAAAATGTATGAATTTATTTTGTTTTTCAACATAAATTTGTGAAAATTAAATTCTAAAATTAATAATTATATAAAAATATCAACACAAGACAATCGCACCGTTTTCCTTCATCCTTCTGGGTTTCCGGTTTAGTGGTTAAAAAATACTAGAATCAAAATAAATTTAAATAATTTATGTCCAAAAATTCCGACGTAACAATATTAATTCCGATAATTATTTTTTATTGAATAAAAATTGATAAAATATTAATTGTTACAATTAAATTATTTTAGATATGAAGAAGAGATAGTTTACAATCCAATCGAAGCTGGTGAAGCATTGAGGATCAAAGTTAAGAAATCTACAAGATTCATGGAAATAACTAATGAACCTCTTTACCCTATGAAAAGTAATCCTCGAGGAATAGTATTGTTGATAACCATCATAGAGTACGTTGCTTTTTATCGTAATCGACAATCAGCAAAGTTAGATCATAAAAACTTACTCGAGTTGTTTAAACAAATGGGATTTGAGGTTGTTGAGAGAATAAATTTGACTGCTGATGTAAGTACTGACTATCAAATTAATTTTACTGGCTAATTTTTATTCATAAAAATTAGTAATAAATTTTTTCCAGGAAATAAGAAAAGAGATAAAAGATTTTTCAAAATCACAAAAATTACGACATGTAGATTCTTGCTTTGTTATCATTTCTGCCCACGGAGACTCGACTGGGGCCGAAGAAAATGAAAATGAGGATAGTGTAATCCACGGGGTTGATCATACTGGAGTTAAATCGACTCCGCACAAAGAAATTAAGTGTAAGGAAATCATACAATATTTTTCAGCTGTGAAATGTCCTAACATGATTAGAAAACCCAAAGTATTTGTTTTCCAAGCATGCAGGTAATTTTATTCAATTGATTATTTTATTTATTAATATGTAATTGACAATTGATCTACATGATTGAGAGAAAAAATAAAATTTGTCTCCGTTACATTTATATGATAATTGATAAAACAGGTTTTTTGAAAATGTCATTATACGTTTAATTTTAATCCATATAATTGGGAGAAAAATCCAAATTTTGTAACGGGTATATTGTTATTTTCGCAGTTTGATATTTTTTCATCAACATTTAATTGATCATATAAATAACAACGGCATACAAAAAAAAAGTTGTCAGTACTTTTGACCGGACCTACCTATCTTTATGTATTTTGACGCGCTGAATCTGAATCTGAAGTTAGTTTGGCCCGTACACCCTCAAAATTTTAAGTAAAATCCATAAAACCCCAAAAAAAGGCAAAAAAATTGCGAAAAACTGCAGTCACAGCGATAAATAAAATTTTGTGGACCCAGATCAAGTAGGATTGTTATGTATTTCAATTCACTGAATTTGAATCTGAACGTTAATCAGCCCGTTGAGCCGTCAAAATTTGATAAAATAGCAAAAAACCGGAAAAAATTGCAGTAAATCATGAAAAATCGAAATTATCGAGATAAAAAATTTTTTTGGATTCAGATTGAGTATGATTTTCATGTACTTTGTTTCACTGAATTTGAATCTGAAATCTTGTCCCATTAACGTTTTAAAATTGATAAAAAATCTCAAAAGTTAAAAAAAAACGGGAAAATTACAGTTATAAATATGAGAAAAAAAATCTATTAAACACGATTGTTAATGACTTGAGTGTATTTTCATAGATGGAATATGATTTTAGAATTGAAAAATTGACAAAATTTTTAAATCTTTAAAAAAATAACTTGTTAGTAGATGGTACGAAACCATATTTTCGAATTTCAGACTGTCGTTCGTTTGTATCGAATTTTTTTATCTTCAAATGACTTACGGAGTGGGTTCCTTTTACGTTTTCTGTTTTCTTCTGGTGTTTACTTTTAAACCGTTAATGGGACAAGATTTTAGATTCAAATTCAGTGAAACAAAGTACATAAAAATCATACTCAATCTGAATCCAAAAAAATTTTTTATCTCGATAATTTCGATTTTTCATGATTTACTGCAATTTTTTTCGGTTTTTTGCTATTTTATCAAATTTTGATGGCTCAACCGGCTGATTAACGTCCAGATTCAGATTCAGTGAATTGAAATACATAGCAATCATACTTGATCTGGGTCCACAAAATTTTATTCATCGCTGTGACTGCAGTTTTTCGCAATTTTTTTTTGCATTTTTTGGGTTTTTTGGATTTTACTTAAAATTTTGAGGGTGTACGGGCAAAACTGAGTTCAGATTCAGATTCAGTGCGTCAAAATACATAAAAATAGGTAAGTCCGGTCAAAAGTACTGACAACTTTTTTTTTTGTGTGCCGGTGTAATTAATAAAATAAGTAAAACATTATGATTCGGGATATTTTTTTGTTTTAAATGTATTTTATATATTTTTTGGTGATATTAAATTTTTTACTTGAAGTTATTGAAGAAGTTCTAAATATTTTGATGATTTTAAAAGTTTCTCTTTGTGATAATTATTCATTAAATAATTGGAAATTAATCTTAGGATAGCAATATTTTTTTTTTATTTATTTAAAAAGTACCCTAACTATCTATATTGAGATTATAGTTATCGAAAAATCATTAAGCAAAAGTTGGCAGTCGTATAGTTACTGTAGGTTGTTAATTATTTGTGAATTAATAATAATTAGTTAATATATCGGTTCTATTTCAGAGGAAAAAACAGACAAAAGGCTCTGACTTCCAAAAGTTCCCAGTGTATAAACAGCATCGAATCGCTGAATCTAGAAATTGACGAGAATGAAGAAAATTCCACAAATTCACGTGCTGGCATATCTTGTCGTAATTTTGAGGATATTATTGTGTTCCAATCTACGTTACCTGGTCATGTGTCATTCCGCGACACCAAGTATGGGTCTTGGTTCATACAAATATTCTGCGAGGTCTTCATGAAACGAGCTTATCGTTTAGATTTAGTTCGACTTTTTCAGAATGTAAATAACTTTCTTAATTATTTTTTCCTTTTTTTAATAATTTAACTATGAAAATTTTATTGATTGTAATTTTGGACGAATTTTTCAGATTGATAGCCGTCTAGAAGTACTCAAGGTGTCAGACTATAACTGCCAAACTGCTACCTTAAAGCTATTAGGGTTTAACAAGCGTCTTTACATCAATCCTGGGTATTTTGAATAAAAATTTTACCTCGAATATTCGATTTTATAGTAATCGAACACGAACAATTTTTTCTTTCATTTTTTAAACATTTTTAAATTTTGAATTTAAAATATCAGTAATTCCATTTTATATTTGTGTATCGAATTATGTGATACTTTATTATATTAATTTTTGTAATATTCTTTATCAAGTTTATCAGTGTAGATTGAATCTACGTAGTTTTAGATATTTTGTACTCTTTATATTCCATCAAAGCAATAAATGTGGTTCATTATTTAACAAAATAATTAAATAATGACAATAATTTATAATAATGACTTTTTATTTTAAGATTTTTATTATAAAAAAAATTTTTTTTTAATTTTCAACTACGAAATTAATTGAAATTTTTATCAAAACTGGAAAAATAGCAACTTGAATTCAAATCCTGTAAAAATCGGTTGATTCATTTGTGGGATTATTATTTTTTAAAATGATAAAAAAAAAGGTCAAATATTAAAAAAAAAAAGTGATCTGCAGAATACAAGGCACATTAATAAATCTACCATCAGTTACTTCTAACTAGCTATACCATTAGACAGCCCTACTAATTGCAAGTCTACCAGTTACTTCTCTACCAACATTTAAATCAACCATTTAGAAAACTTACCCGTTAACAGCCTTACCGCGAAACTATTAAATTTTATAGCTTCAGAAATATCATAAATAAATAAATATATAATAGACAAATTAATAAGCATGAAAATTAAGAATCTCCTACTTGTATAAACCGCTGAGTTTACAAACGGCTATTTTAATTGTTAACAAAATTTAGCATTCACTTATTTCATGAATCGCAAAGTTTACTATTGGCTGAATCCGCGTGGCTAAGTTTTTGGCATAATTCACGATGCACCAATTTTAATAAATATCAACATTACGTAAATACTTTATTTTAAAATTATTTTTAATCTAATGTTAAGATATGCATTTTGTTTATTTTTTTTTATTTCAGTTTTTTTTTAAACACTTTTTTTTTACTTAGCCGTATTTAAAAATATATTATTCTATTAATGACAATTGCACGACTCATGATGCGAAGCATCAGCGAGTGCTTTACGATCGAAAAATTTTTTTCGCCTCATTTTGGCAGCTATTTCTATTATTATAGCCTTGTTAGTTCACGGAATCAAGATATTTTGCATACTATTGTAGAGATAATTTAATGGAGATTAATTCCATACTTTTTAAAAATTGATTTACTGCAATAGAATCGAAAAAAAACACCAAAATAGGCCAAAAAATTTTCCTGTCCGTCATGTGTGAAACCCGAAAACACTGTAACTTGTGAAAAAATCCATTATTTGAGTTAAATTTTTTTTTTTAAATTCTAATCGATGATT